AACCAACATACCAGCCAACATCTCGATAGCATCCAGCACCAGCAAAGGTCAGAGCCGTTCAAATGCAATTCAGTGTTACTTAGGTGGGGAAATTCGACTAGTTCACCCCCTTCGACTTCATAAGAGCACACCGTCTCGGAGAACTGTGTTACCACACAAAAAGCGGCCTACCGGCCAATAGCGGAAGGGCTAGGGGCACAAAGGGACAATCATGCACCACTCACCACCATTTGGCCGTAGACGCTGTTCATCATGGTGCTGCTCTTGGCCGTGTTGAAGCGGCCCAGCAGGATCTGGCGCGTCCGCGAGCGCAGCAGACAGTGAAACACAAAGATCAGGATCCCCTGTAATCAGAAGTCACGTGCGCTTCACCCGTCCGCGCCGGAGGACCGCGCGCAACACCAGCACCACGGCGTCACCGCGCCACAGTGGCGCTGGCGGAGATCACGGGGAGTCGGCGCGGAGGCAAGAACTGCACCAGCGGGACGACCCTCCCCACCCCTCCCCAGCCGGGGGAGCGGCGGCGCCACCATCGCTACCCCAGGTACGACGCAGGTGAGGCTCATCGCGATACAGAGCCAATTCAGCCACGAATAAAGCTCTTATCGGGTAGGCGACCATAAACGGTGTGGGGAAAAGCAATATTGGGTGTAACTGCCCCGAGCCCACTGTAAGATTGGTGTGCTAGGAACATGATCAACGGGTTTCGAAGTCGAGGCACCAAGGCATAATGCACTATGCACAACCGTGCTTATAACTTTGTCGTGCTTTACCTCATATTGTCCACGAATGCACAGGGGCTCGCGCAGGTGTGCACAACTTCCTAGCGCATTGGTACGGTGCGAAAGCGCGTAAGCATATAAGTTGTCGCGCCTTCGAGTTCGCAGCTATCATTCCAGGGAAAGCCCGCATGCTTTTTCCGTACCGCAACTTACCAGTAGTGGTATTTGTTCAGCATTTGTCATTGCGTAACAGGCGCGAATGGTAGCCGTTAAACCCGGATCACTCGGCTCCGGTGTCTGGCCCTAGCTCTCATCGAAGACTGAGGCTGACTGATAACACGTCGAATCTGATGTGGTTTTTAAACCCTCGATGCACTTATCATGGATCTAATCATCACTGTCCTTGAACGCGTATAGTGATTCACCGTTGCTTCCGTAATTACGTTAACCACAACAATTAGTAATTCTTTCCTGCTTACATATTAGCACAGCTTCCGGCTCCGCACTTAAACCCTGGTCTTCGTTTTACCCTCTGTCGTCGGACCTGACAGAGTACTTAAATGAGACCCTATTTCCTAGCTTCCGGCCGCTGCACTGTCCCTCAGCTCCAGCTACAGAAGCGTCCGTGTGATGCCGCTGGGTGGCCAGCACGCGCCCAGCTGACCAGCACGGTCAGCAGTGTGGCCGGGCGGCAGTGATCGACCGTGCCGTGTCAGGCGGTGGACGCCGCTGACGCCGCGTCTGGCAGCGGGCCGGGTCTGCCGACCGGCCGACACCGGCGGGCGCGGCACAGCCGACCTTGGCCGTCACAGCACGGTCCTGTTCCTGCCCGCGCCGCGCCGCGGCAGCCGGCCGACAGACGTGCCGACCGCACGCGCTCCGAACAAGGCGCAGACGTAACTCACGCCGGACCACGAGCTGAGCTCGTCGGCTGCACAAAGCGACCCTGCGCATACACCGCACCGCCGCAGGGCAGCGCGTTGCCGTTTACATACCTGGCTGCCGCTGTGGAGGAGCTACGCGTCAAACCCTGGTTCTGATCAGCAGGCAACAGAAGTGCTGTCGACCGCAGTGGGTGTGAACCGAAACTGCAGCGGCGAACCACCGCCACTGCCCGTCCACTGACCCCCGCTGCTGACGCCATTTAATGGCCTGGCTGCAGGCACCTGCAGGCCGCCAGCTGGCCGCTAACATTAGGGCGTGCAGGCATGGCAACAGGAACATACACGAACCTTGCGCCGCACCTCTCCTTACAGCAGGAACCCACGCAACAGGAGCGTGCCTAATTCATGTGCCTCCGGTCAGGGAGACAGCAAAGGATCGAGTACGGTCCTCGTGCCAGCCCTTCGGCCGCCCAGAGACAGAGCGAGAGGAGCGCAAATGGCTCTCGTGTTGCCTCTCCGCATACAGTGGGGATACAGCAATAGAAGGATGTTATGGTTAGAAGGAAGCACAGTGATAATAACTTATCCTGGTAATGCATTAGGAATTTGTTGCAATAATCAAGACACGAACGTATCGTATGCAGTTTCGAAGCACATTCACGGTACGTCAGTCGGCTCATTCCTTCAGCGCCAGCCACGGGCACCGCTTCTTGTTAACGCAGACGGCCGCGGCCCATGCTGCGGGACGTGCCGTATCGCACTGCCCGCAGACCCGCACCCCATACGGATAAAGAGACCTCTAGGACCTCCAGGGTCTCCAGCAGCTCCCCGTGAGTGAAAGTATAGAGGGCCTCTTGCTCACCCCTGTTTATTTTGCTGTCGCTGTTTTAATGGCTCACGAGCTCTCGCGAACAGCTTCCTGTTCAGATATGCAGGCGCGGCGCGATGCTGCGCCACCACATTACTCTCCGTAGGCATCACCTGTGCTGCCATTCGAAACCGGATCGTTGGCGTGGAAGTCTGTGATGGAGGATAGGCTAGCCGCCTAAAAGTCAACACATTACTCTCCGTAGGCATGACCTGTGCTGCCACTCGAAACCGGATCCTTGGCGTGGAAGTCTGTAATGGAGGATACGCTAGCCGCCTAAAACGCATGATTTCTTAGATTTCAAGATGTTTTCGAAAGAATGCATACGTCCTACGTTACAATGAAGCATATGCATGCTCATAATAAACTTATTACAGAAGTTGTTTCCGGTTTTTGAAGTTTCCAGCTCGACTATGATCATAGCGTGGAGCTCATGGCGTGGCAATAACGTGGTGTCGCCTCACGTGCATGCGCTAAGCCCTTTATTGATCGAGGCCGCGCCGTGCCTAAGCCGTGGCCGTGAAGTCAGCATGAGTTCGTTATCGATATTGACATGGCTATTTGGACCCCCTTGGATTTGGTTGAAACCGAGGATGAACTTTCCCATTCAACGGGGAAAAGAGGCTCCAATGCCCTCGCCCAGCACTTCGAGAAGGAGATGGACCAAATTCCGGGGAAACTAGTGTTGGAGCGCATTTTGGCGTAGGGTTTGTCGAGCCTGGCGCGCAGGGTTTGTCATTTTGGCGTAGGGTTTGTCATTTTGGCGTAGGGTTTGTCATTTTGGCGTAGGGTTTGTCATTTTGGCGCAGGGTTTGTCATTTTGGCGCAGGGTTTGTCATTTTGGCGTAGGGTTTGTCATTTTGGCGTAGGGTTTGTCATTTTGGCGTAGGGTTTGTCATTTTGGCGTAGGGTTTGTCATTTTGGCGTAGGGTTTGTCATTTTGGCGTAGGGTTTGTCATTTTGGCGCAGGGTTTGTCATTTTGGCGTAAGGTTTGTCATTTTGGCGTAGGGTTTGTCATTTTGGCGCAGGGTTTGTCATTTTGGCGTAGGGTTTGTCATTTTGGCGCAGGGTTTGTCATTTTGCACTGCCGAGCCCCAACTCATTTTGGGATACTGTGTCCTCACCTAAAACTCTGTATATCGGTAAACATTGCACTGCTGAATCGTATGCCACTAGCTTGGAACCTGGATGCCACTAATTTGGGGCCACTGCCTAGCTTGAGGGTTATCTAAAAGCAAGACCTTAAAAAATGCCAGGCAATGTCAGCGCCATCGGAAAACAGCCACTCACTAATATTAACCTCAGTACCACTACATCCTCAATATCACTAATAACCACTCACTTGTAACAAGAAACAGCCGCTAATGAGAGCGTACGACTTACAAAGTGGGCAAAAGGTAACATTTTCAACTTCTTCTAATCTTTCAAATTGCTCCAAAAACGACTATATTAGCCATTTTTAAGCGCAATGTATTAAACCCACTCGCCAGAGCTTAGAGTCAACCGAGATGAGCATTCAGGTCTCCATCAATGTCAGTGAAACAGATTAATAGAACCGCACGTACCAACCTAACATAAACTTATGGTTTAGCCCGTGAATCATTTAAGCTCAAGGTTTTAGACCCTGACTAGTTTGACCTCCGAGGTAACGCAAGGTCAGACGACTTTTCACCGTGGCTACCGTTCACGATAACATGAGCCATTTGGAAGCATGACGGCCACCCAGGTCAGTTGAATGGGACTAACAAAGATGCGTCGATTACTGGCGCATATATGGCTCGGGCTGTTAAAGCCATAGGTTTTCATGCCAAGACTTCCTCCACCAAATCCACCACCACTACCCATTGGGCTGAGCCCCACACCCACCCGCTAACCACTCCCCATCTGTTGCACCCGCCCCGTGCCCACCCATTTTTATTTCCAGCACCTTGATTCTAGATTATTGAAAAGTTTTCCAGTAAATTACAACGAACTTGACTGTGTCGCTTTAATAACGGTAGAAGTAGTGTTAATGGGCCCCGAAATTCATTATTTTTATTGTTATTGTTAAACCCTGAAGGATATCCAAGTGGAAACGCTAGGTGGCATTTCTTGAAGCGTCTTCCCGACATTCCGTGAGCTTTTCATCTGCACCCATACCCATCTGCGTAATTCGTCTAAAATCTGTACCCAACACATCCTGTTTCCCTTTCCACATGGGTCACCCTGGACTATTTCCACCTGTAATGTCCTCTCGTTTGAAGACCCTTCATAGAAGTTTTTATATTTAACTTTTACATCTTGTTTGGTAAACGGTAGCCGGTGTGTCCACCGGGCGGTAGGCGGTGTATCCGCCTATATCTTGCAGTCATTTTCACGTCTCAGCCTGTCGGGCGTTGTAATGTGATATCCATCCTCAGAACTCAATCTGTCGGGTGTTGCAATGTGATATAAATCCTCAGAAACGACACATTCCCGTGGATGTATGGCTTACACAAGATAACGCGTGCTGGTCTCAACACGCCGATCCATACTGTCCCAGTATGATTGGCCGTTTTTTTTTCCTCCGCTAGCATCAGTTAGTCTCATGTCACTGCTACGTTAGACTGTGGAAATATGGACCCGGTTTAGCCCGGGTTCTTCAATTTTTGCCCGCCATGGAGAGCTTTTATTTCTTCTATGCTAGTTCAATAAGGGGGGTGATGGGGAGGGGGGATAAAAAAGTAGTGATGTTGCAACATCGCTGAAAACTGAGTAAACCTGCGACCGGTGGTATTACATGTGTAGTTTCCAGAAAGCACGACAGCCGAACAGGACCGACGCTAGCCCCCAAAGCACTAATTTTGCCGATTCTCAACATTCACTCGCCTGCAACTTCGTGGGTAATCACGCAGAGGAGTTCACCGACGCCACCTGAAAACTTTGGATTACTATGCGGGATGTAGACGGCACGCAAGGAAGGAAACTCCATGACGAACTGGCGGTGATTTCGAAGCACAGTATGTTGGTTTTAATGTATTGATTTACGTTTATAATGGGCGTGAAGGCACCCTTTGATTCCTCTTTGCTTCATATGCTTTTTAAAGCCAAGAGGCGGTCTTGTCTTTGATTAGAAACGCACAGATATTGTCAGGGACGGATGAAAGATGTGGCAGAGTGAATCAAGGAGACGGCATTAGGAGACCCAAGCTCAGCTACGACACCCCAGGAAATGGTGCACTGCGTGCAAATGATACACTGCAGGGTGAACGTATCAGGTCACAAGTCTGGTGCTAAATATCGAAGCATGGGGAAGAAAGTCGCGATTTCTAGGTGCATCAGCCATGCGCCACGCATTTTGAGCGACCGACTCTGCATGTTCTACATCTATAAACGGTATGTGGCGTGGCCGGAAGCAGGTGCAGCGATCGCAATTTAGAGGAGAGAGCCAATCAATCTATATTTGCATTGCAACGTTTTGCCGAATGTCAAATGGTTGTATTTCTTCTTAACCCTCACATTTTAGAACCCTGCACGCGCCACTGATCCCTAACATGGTTCGCACGTTATAAATTTCGCGTTCAAAATAGTCACAACGCCGAAGTGTCCAAAGCATGTAGGATATTTCAATCACCTTCGAAAGCTCAACAATATGTTCAGATTTACCCCGTTTTGTGCTCGTGTGTGCAACATAGGCGACTTATACATTTTGTTCGCATAATAAATTGATACTGGCCACAATGCTTTTTATACCCCGCCTATGAAGGTTCATCCAGTACATTTCACAACTGTTGGGCAGCCGAAACAACTTACATTTCATGACCGTAGCGCGGGATGGACCACATTATAGTAGTGGATATCAACCAATGAGCAGTTGCCAGTTGATCGACCGACGGTTGTGAAGTCGAGTGAGCGAAGGAGCCCGAAGCAGAGCAGTTGGCCCAAAACTACTGAAGCACATCAAACTACTGTAGTTCCTCTCACGCCATACACATCATGCTTCGACGGCCTTCTACTATGGACGGAGCGCTCCTGGCAGAGGCTTTTGATATGCTACTCATGTGATCTGTGCACCACGTGTTAGAGCTTTTGACACCCGTAGCAGAAGTCTCACTCCTCACCTGAGAGCAGTTCAGCACCGTGAAGGACGTAGTCGAAGACGTTGGAGCCATCCACCAGTAGATAGCCGACAGTCCACTGGACGCCCAGCAGACAGGAGAGGCAGAAACCACCCCTTCAGCCACCGTTTGATGCGCTCCTTCTTGGCCCGTAACTGATTCACCTTTAGAGATGCCGCCGAACGGAACGCGAGCACCACTACCAGCATGTTCATCTGCGACCGCAAGGGAGATGGTCAGCGTAGTCGTCTACAGCGCCAGGGCTCATGAAAACCAAAGGAGACAGGCAACGCCAGGAACTGACCGCGCGGGAACGAACCATATTGTGACGTTTGTGTGTGTTTATGAGCTCCACGCGGGGTAGTCAGGTGGCAAGGTGGACGGCATTCCACTCCAGGTGAAGATCGCAACTTAGTGGCTGGCTTGTTTGTTTGCCGTTTCAATGGTGCACCATGTGCATTGTGTGTGACGGCGTGTTCAGACCCAAGCGTCAGTTTCACAAGCGGACGAAAACATTGACGTCGATTTCAGTGAACCACGTCGGACCAAATGGGAAACTCGTCCCTTGGGCAGGCAGGACACGGCACGCTCGGGGTGGGAAATGCAACGCTACTTTGCAAGCCTCACAGCACAGATCACACCAAAGGTTTGGTAATAAGGGCATTAGCAGCCTCTTCATTGGTGTCGCCGCCGCCAGCCCACAGCTACCCGAGACGCGTCTTGTCATGTGCTTTGTCAGTCTCCGCCAGGACAGACACACACAGCTGCGTGCGTGCGTGCGTACCAGTGTCTGTATCTGTTCGTGTGCACGTGCTTTTTCATGACAATGCCTTTGTGTCTTCATTTTGAAGTGGCAAGGTAAGCCCATTCTCTTGATGTCCGTCAGTCAAACAGCGACTCATACTTACGATCAAAACAACTGCCAGAGGGCCATTGAAGAACCAGATGAAATAGGGGACCTTCAGCCAGCAACTGGAAAAGTAAAGCAGGTGGAGAACTGTAAATATTCAGTTTTGAATACAAGGAATACAACGATGAGTCAGTATTAAAAGCATGATTCCTCCTAAAAGAAAAATCAGAACGGAGAGATAGATGCGTCATTTCGGCTGCATGCCCTTATCGAAACGAATATCAGTCGTAAATTCAAGGTCTTCTACTGATAGTCTTTTCGGTAAGACATGTAGCCGAAATATCACATCTGTGTCTCCATTCTCTTGTTTATTCTACGAGGAAGAAGGATATTGATCCGATCTCATCTATATGCGTAATGTTCCTCGCAAATGCACTGAACAACTTACGTAACGAACATAACGGTATGCGCACACTGTGGGCATTACGATTCCTCTTCTCTGGCGTTCAATTCACATCATACATCACAATGTTCAACGTGAGTGGCTTATTGATTGGTTTCATTGATTACATCAAATGTAAACTACGCTGACAACGCATTTTAGCACACGGTGTGTGCATTTGCGAATACTCTGGTCACAAAAATCGTGTACACGTTTATAGCTAGCTTGCGGATTATTGCCCCCAGCGTTTTTATTCGCATGCGCAATTACCAGAAGATCTGCAGTGTGCTAATGCACATAATAGCCACTTCCACGACAGTTCAATACGCTAAAAAGTCATCAAAAAAATTGTAAAATGCCTCCAGGAAGTTTTGGTATATACTTACGACTTTGACAAGAAAATGGTCATTTTCAAGCAATTTTATTGACATTCAGAAGCTAACCTGTATGCTTTGTTAAAAATAAGTTCATTACAAGAAATAAATCTCTTCATAGACATTTGTTTTCAATCCATGTCTTAAGCTCAATCAAATTCTGGCGAATACCAGGCCTGGCAATCAGCCGTGTAAACCTGTCGGGGGCCTCCGCGGTGCCAACATTGTTTACGTCGGCACCGTGTGGAGCAGGGGGGGGGGGCTTTCCGATGATTTAAGTCAAGGATCATTCATCATGGATCATGTGCTGGTAGTTAACCACTGCAAGCACTGCAGGGACATGGCCAGAAAACTATGAGCAGGGCCATGGCCAGAATGTTGGAGTTTTTTGTTGTCGCGTCTGCGTCAGACATGTCACTGAACGTTTTTGAAAGGCTTTTAAACGTTTCGGTGGGAAGACATCTGGCATCATGCCTGTCCATAAATAAAACATGATCTTGCTGATAGCCAGTAAACCACAATATTACCCAAATTTACGTAATTACAAGCATACTTTTTAACTCCACAAAACACTTTTAGCCGAAAATCGTGGGTAAAAGTCGTTTCGTTGGAAAATAAGCGCTAAACATTTTTAGAAGTTTTTAAAACCTTGCATCGCAATCCTTGAGAAAAAAACGACTAATGTTATTGCATGCAACACCATGCACACGAAGTAAATGGATCACTAAGCAGACGGGCACACACAATATTGATAAGCATATGATCGTACGACACGACGTGCGATAAATACCCAATGACCATGCATCAGATAAGCACAACTCTTTATAGACGCCGCCAGTAACCTGCTGAACGCTACGGAACCTACTGACACAAAGTCAGACAGGTAGGCAAAGAAAAATGCATGAATATGAAAGGCGTGCTGATTGCAACAGATTGGCGAGCGAATCTCTCAGTGTGACCAAAAGGCGGAGCGCCGTAGAGCTCACAATTCATCCCGGACGTAGGCGTACTGGTCGGTGCCCAGCGCCACCGTGTTGGTGACGATCACGATCAGCGCAGGGCCCAGGTAGCCGTACATGTAATACCTGAGGCAGACCAGACACCGCCTCACACCCCTGGCCCACATATATCCAGCGGCGTGCTTGGTGGATGGAGCAACAAAGCAAAGAAGATGCAGCATCCCAGGCTCGGACACTTCCGCGTGAAGTAACAAGGCAGAGAAAACCCAAATAGAAACGCTCGGTCTCTCATGAAAGGCGTACTGCGGCAAAAGCACCGTGTAATAGAAGCATGCAAAACATCTAGAATGGCAGATGACCTCAACCCTGGGTAAAACTGACATGTTTGCCTTCGGACGCTCTCAGGCTAGCAGATTGAGCGAAGATCAATAGAGGGGTTCGGGCACCTGATGATGGCGAACACGGGAAACCCCTGCCCACAACCCTTCTCAACGTGGCGCTCGTCTGCTAGCTTTGAAGTCTTCAAACGTTAACAGGTCGCTTCTGGCATGACATGAGATTATTTCTCCACTATCGAGCACAATGCCCTAGATCAAGATGGCGATACAACAAAGTTTGAGAACATCGAGTCCCAATTTTCGTATTTCTTACGACACGCGTCCAAGGCATGATCACTGTGGGGAGTGCATAATCTTCACTAATTCCACACGTAATTGGAGGACGCCCCCCCCCCCCCCCCAGCCTCGGGCCATGGCGCTCCAGTCGGGTCCGCTTTCTGCCACCCTACCTGCCGGTGCCCACCTGGTCATCGAGTTACTCTTGGGTTCGAACACGTGTCGCAACACCTTGTACAAGTGGACGCCCTCCACCATGCTCCATGCGAACACGGAGAGGAAGCAGTAGTGGATGGCCATGCCGGCGAGGCTGCAGGCGATGGGCTCCAAGTAGACCAGGTGGCGGTCCATGACAGTGAGCAGCAGCACCAGGCCGGCGGCGTACGTGGCGCACAGGTGGCGTGTGATGGTGGTGCGGCAGCAGCGCAGCGATCTGACGGCGGTGGGTACATCTGGAGGAGGACTGCGCGCAGAAACGGGCTGTAACTAAACCTAACGCACTCGTCCTCACAGCAGAACCATCACCAGAAGACCAGGGCGCCCGCCATAGGCTGGCTCTCTTAACTACTCTCCCCCCCTACCTCTTTTCCCTTTCCCCTTTTGTTCTTCTTCAACAAATGGTTGTGAATACATAAAACTGCATAGCACCTCCGAAGATAGAGTAACTACAGTAAGTAACTATCTTCAGTAAGTAACTATCTAACAGTAAGTAACTATCTTCAGTAAGTAACTATCTAACAGTAAGTAACTATTTTCGCTTCCAGCCAAACGCTTCCAGCCGTGAATTTAAGACAGATATACAAACTCCAGACGCCAGGTGACGGCCACCGGAGCCGTGGGCCTATGTAACAACGCGACTTCTCTTTGTACTCTGTGCATCTAGTTTGTTGTGTAGTTGTGCATCACAATCCTTCGTGAGTCGTTGCAAGTAAATAAATCGGTAACGAGTGTGCTATCGCGCAATTCAATATGCTGTGTCATTAAACAGAATATTTGGCTAACATAGAATTGTCACTCAAACAGCATTTAGTGTCTGGATGTTGCAGTGCAACGAGTTTGACATCGATAAACATGTTCTGTTGCGGTTGGAAAATGGCGCGGATAACCTTTGGCAATGTTTCATTCGTTGAACCCTGGCAAGATGTTAAATATGGCCAAGTGGCGAGAAATAAAAGACAGGTTCATGCATGTCAGCGTAATGAATGATTTGCGACTGTGAAGACGACCTCTACAGCAAGGACATAGTGCATTTCATTTTCAGTTTTGTAATTTCTATCTTGTGATTTCATGAGTGAACTTGTCTGTCTTGGACCTGGGAGATGACACGAATGATATACTGGACACATTAATGGTAACGATATACAGGTCGCTAGAGGCAAAAATAGCAATGATCGGACTTGCATTTTTGCTCTGCAGTATGTGACCAGCGTCGAGAGCGGTTATAACTCATTTTTACCGTTTGTAGTAGGGTTGGCCTGCTCTAAGTAGCGTATGATATTCACTAGATTCTCAAATAATATCGGATATAAAACGTGACAACGAAGTAAGCAATTTCATTGCAGAAAGGGATGATTAATTACATGTTAGGAATGGATGCAAAAACATTTCAAAAAATCGTTCTCCATCCCTTTCAACTCAAATGCTTATTTTGGAACAGCAAGTTTCGGTGATCTGCTTCGTGCTTTTATTAAAATCTACACTTTACGGTTTGTGATGCAAATTACACTTCCGACAAACCGTGCGTAGAAGGCAAACATATGACTGAATGTAACGGGCAAGACAACAGGAAAGCAGTGCTCCAAAAGAGCTGAACACTTGTATTGACAATGAAATGATACTTCGTAACGGCTCACTTGACTGAAGACGTGGCGCACTATGTACTGTCACAGCCTCACCTGGTGAACGTGAATACAACCCAGGTCAGGATGAGGCAGATGACGGAGAGTGTGCCCAGCAGCCAGGTCAGCACGCTCAGTGACAGTGGTGTGCCCTGCAAACATACGACCAGCGCCCAGGTCAGCACGCTCAGTGACAGCAGCGTGCCCAGCAATCATATGGCCATCACACAGGTCAGCACGCTCAGTGACAGCGGCGTGCCCTGCAATCATATGGCCAGCACCCAGGTCAGAGCACTGGAAATACTGTATTGGCCAGCCTTCACACACGTGGGCGTACACACACGTAGTCATTAAGGTCACAGCCACTGGTTGCCTGGCACAACATTGGCTTGCCGAAGACGCGATGAACTGAATCAAGTGACAAGCTCGCCTGCGAGCGTTTATGCAACGCCTGATTAGCGAACCCTTCCAACTCGAATTCTGTTGTTACGTCTGCTTGTTTTCTAGAGCAAATACGTGTTCTATATCGTGATCGTTAATTTATCCAGAAGCGTGCAGAAAATTTGAATATGAATAGCGCCCAGCCATTCTCCAAAACTAGAATATTACCATTTTTACATTCATATTCAGCCTCAACATTATCAAGTAAAACGTTTCCACATTACGAGTCGTGCCACCGGACACTCGCCTCCGCTAGAACCAGCGGCAAGGCTGAAACATTGCAGAATCATGGCACCTCAAAGAGAACGTTGTTGGCACAAAGGTGCCCATTGAAGAACATGCTGCAACCTTTTACGTACTTTATATACAAATGGTTATAGAAAGGCGTGATCCCTTCAAAGGATTGGATCAATTAGTGGCACAGGCTTCTATTTGGCTTCTATTTGAGCAGGTAACATTCGTGCATACATGCAGAACGCATCTAACATGTGCATGGATGCAAAACTGAGCATTGATCCAACAAAATCTTCTGATCAAACTATCAACTTTTACCTTCGACTCCAGATTTTTTCCGGAAATAAAGACGGGGGATCCCAGAGTGTCCTTCGCAAAAATGGTTTTGGATGAATAATATTTCCAGGGAAAATTTTGATCCGGGATGTTCCTAAGGGATGCTGCGTTTTTACTGCTACCGACTTTTGCTGAGTAAGGGCGTTTCCAGTCCACTGAAAATCAGGCGGCAATCTGTCCCACTCAAGCAAGCTTGTAAACCATGCCTTGATGACTCGTCCTTTGGGGGTTCGGTGTCAGAGCGGACATGTGGCTGAGCCGCCATGATTTGGGGAACCTTCTTTCGGTTTGGAGCTAAAATTACTATGTGCGACAGCGCAATGAACCTTCACTCTCGGTGCAATCAAATTTTAAAAATTCGTGCTGTAGAATAAATCTCTTGAAATTAATCTCGCAAGATCCTGTGTCAAACATTGACAGTAAACCGCGTTCGACCCATTCAAATGGTGAATGTTGTACCATGAAGAACCTCTGAGCACACTTTAAAACTGAGCCATTATCTCAACATGGGGTAAACTTCAACCGAAGGCTCTTCAGCGTCCGGAAAATTTGACACGCAGAATAGAGATTCACAGAGCAGGAACCCTTTGTGGGGCCCACGAAGCACGCACTTGTAAGCGTAGTGCGCAATGTTCGGAGTGAGATGGCATGATCGTCAAGCGTCAGGCGCGTGATACGCCCTTCCCTTAGACGGAAGGGCATATGCCTTACCAGAACAAAACTCCTCCAGAAAGTATGCAATGCTCACATAGACGTGGCCACCTTCACGGGCCCCAGCTGAGCACTGCAGATGAGCAAACGACGATCGAGTGCGCTAGTGTACGACTCAATACACGTGAAATTTGTTTTCGTGTGATGACCTAATAGGCTATTGGCAAGGGGCTCCACTGGTAACATTTAGTCGGCCCCGTCGGTTTTAAGCCGGTGCAGCCGGCTGTGTTCATGCTCCGGGCCATTGACCGCGTGACCTGGCAGAGGTCGCGTGTGCGGGCCAGAGCGGCCGCAGACTTAGGGCAGGGACAGCCGGCTGTGTGGCCGGGTGTTGAGTTGGTCCAGCATGCTGTTTGTAAATACGAGTGACTAAGTGAATAAGGGTATACACAAAAACAGCAAATTTCCTAACATTAAATTACATCAAATTAAGAAACAAACACCAAAGTTTAAGATAAAAAACAGAAAATTGCAATGAATATGATCATATTCGTTGTAGTTTAGGAAAGACAGGCTAGGTGCGCGCACGTCTTCCGAGACGGTCAAATGCATATACCCCTCCGCGTATAAGAGTCTACGCACGGGACTGACGAGGAATTATTTCGTGGTCATGCGTCCCATGCTCAGCTAGTTCGACCTTCATAATCCCTTTCCATTCAGAAAGTTGTTTCTCTCATTCTAATGAAGAGCGGCATTCGAGTTATGCTTACCTGCATGTCCACTGCCGTGCCTCTGGAAGCCCGACAAGCGTTTTGTCAGTAATCGTGAAGCAATATCCACATACTGGTTTCAGAGGCTAACGATTATTTGTCGGTGCATTGGGGCAAGCTACTTACCACGTATTCATGGTAATCCATCAGGATGGCAAAGTTGGTGAGGTGCGAACAGGAGCAGGTGGCGTGATCGCTGGAGGAGCTACCCATCAGCTGACACCCATCTGTCCGCCATTCGCTGCGAAACGGATCAGAAACGGCTGCTCATAGCATCACCCGGTATCCATAGGCATCGAGTGTCGACGCAGGGCTCTGAAAGGTCATGCCACCGACAGGGAATCCTAGCAACGAAGAGTGACACTTATTGCGTGCAATTCGTAGTACCATTCACAGTTTCAGACCCCATCCAGCTGCTGCACAGGGAAGGGGCCCACATGACCTGCGGAGGTACACCACTCATAGGTGCAGCTCGTTGTGCACTTACTGAGCACCGCATTAGAGCTTCAATGTGATGTAAGGGAAGGGGACCACATCTCCCGTGGGAATAAACCCACCACAAATGCCTTCCTCACTCATCCAGCTCCCTCACAGGACACGGACACATCTCCGGCGGCATACACCGCTTACGGGCGCCGTTCTCACATATCCAGCTCCCACGCAGGACACTGACGCATCTCCGGCGGGATACAACGCTCACGGGCGCCGTTCTCACATATCCAGCTCCCACGCAGGACACCGACACATCTCCGGCGGGATACACCGTTCACGGGCGCCGTTCGCATATATCCAGCTCCCTCGCAGGACACCGACACATCTCCGGCGGGATACACCGCTCACGGGCGCCGTTCTCGCATATCCAGCTCCCAAGCACAAGCACGGAATACCACACCTTTGGCGGGAGAACACCACTTATAGGCGGCTGCCCTCACCCACCCAGCCTTTGCACATGGAAGAGCCCCGCCGCCCCTCTCGCGCAAGAGACCACTTACAGGTCATGCTCGCTCCAGTAGGCGCAGACGGCCGTGCCGGGGACGGCGGCCGGCCGCTCGCCAGGGTACAGGGTACGCCACACCGGCCGGCCGGCCGGCTGTCGCGCCGCCCGCCGGTACTGCAGTCGCAGCCGAGCACCGGCCACCTCCGAGAACCGCACCTGCCGACCGGCACTGCCCAGCGAGAAGCCCAGCACCGGTGAGTTGAGCCGCTTCTCGGAGTCGTCGAGGCTGCCGACAGAGCCGGCCGCCGTCAGAGCGGCAGACGGTCGGGACGGACGTGTGGATGAGGCGGCAGGCCAGCTGGTAGGGCACAGCCGTGGTCAGAGGGGCAGGCTGACGGGACGGACGCGTGGGCGAGGCTCCAGGCCAGCTGGTAGGGCACGCCGTGATCAGAGGAGCAGGCTGACGGGACGGACGCGTGGGCGAGGCGCCAGGCCAGCTGGTAGGGTATGCTGCCGTCAGAAGGGTAGACGGACGGGCTGCCACCCTATAGGTCACAACGGGACTCAGACGCAGTCGTTAGCTATAATCGCTATTGACATCGGACAGACATATGCCACGAGGCGGCTTTATCCAGGTTTGCGTACATCGCCCACCTCGATATACGTCTGAGGAACCCAGTGCCGATCTATCCGACTTAACTGGCCTAATCTGGCCATCATGCGCATTAAAGATAACTGTATATGGAAGCCTACAATGTGCTTTTCCGAAACTAACCACAGTACTCTGCTAAACGTGTATTGTCTCGATTTATATCCGACTATTTTTTGCTTCGATGTGTCACGTTGAATATGAACAATTCCTTTACGTATTTGGTTCGTAAATTGTCGTAATTCTGCAAAATTTTGTAGGACCAAATTTTGCGACTTTTACTTGCACGGTGTCCTGTATGCTACCTCAGCAAGACACTGTCCCTATCCGGCGCACACGTGGTATCAACGTGAATGCCTTCCACCATGACCTGCTGAGCGCTGATCGAAGGGCCGTGTTTTCTTCAGCGGTGCTGCACGTCAGCGGATCTGTTTTCTGGCAGCGTGCGTCCTCATCCTTGATTTACATACCCCGGTGAGATTCACCCGTATCCGCAGCCCAAACGCCCCAGTGGTGACTGATGAAACTAAAGCTCTAGTGGCGCGCCGCTGTGATTTCCATAGCACTTCGGGTCACGGGCCACACTATGCGCAAGTAATAGGCTATAATAAGCTGTACAATAAACTGCAAGCTTTGGACAGCTCTCGTACTGTACGGCATGCACAGCTCTCGATCTGTAAGCTATGCACAGCTCTCGAACGGTAAGCTATGCGCAGCTTTTTAACTGTAAGCCATGCACAGCCCTCCAACCGTGAAGTTTCGCGAGCACTATCACTTTCGCTGATCGAAAACAAAACTTCTAGAAGTGTTTGATTGGTCACTCAGCTTGTACCCTTATGTTTCTTCCATCACTAATCGCTGCTTTGGTGTTCTGGCTGGTCTATCAAACGTTCAGAACGGGGGCTTAGTTTCGCGAAATGAGTTAAGGGGAGAGGCTAAACAGTGAAAATGACTCCGTCTGTCCCCCCAGAATATTACAACGAACAGGATTTTGCCCGGATTTTGCTCATTTCATTCTCAAAGTTGGGCGAGGGAACTGAACCCATAGTTGTGGGGCTAAAGCTCTCCCCAGCTGTATAGAAATAACACCCCTGGTTCAGAACCATTTTCTCCCCAGCATAGTCTCCGCACTGGCGAATTTCTTGGCCATCTCGCAGAGCTGATCTGTCATTTTGATGTAAATCCCAAAAAAGATCGCGTACCGAATTCGTTCGAGATGCTTGGCTGGCGACACTTTGTGACGCCATTGCATCATGTTCACGCCACTTTTGCATACATGTTGCGTGAATTGCTTCCGTTTCCCGGTCCTATATAAAGCAAAGGATGTGGTCGTAGTTAAGAAAAGAGTTAATGTGGCGTAAATTGATTATGCCTCCTGCGACCTACTCCCTCCCATTTACCGCTAGTCCTGGGCTCTTGTCATGATGCCGGTAGAATCTACGGAGACACTCATTCCGTAACTAATCAGACACGTGTTAGGTCTGGGCATATGCTGCTCACCCAGCCTTCCTATAACGGGGACATACATCCGGTGAGGTGCCGAATAGTCAATCAATTCAGAGCTATCATTCTCCATGAAATGTCCGCTGATTGGGCGCCATCAGCCTGAATCTATGGCAGATATACAGACCACTATCATGGTGCATACACACACACACACACACACACACACACACACACACACACACACACACACACACACACACACACACACACCACACACACACACACACACACACACACACACACACACACACACACACACACACACACACACACACACACACACACACACACACACACACACAACACACACACACACACATACACACACACACACACACACACACACACACACACACACCACACACAGCACACACACACACACACACACACACACACACACACACACACACACACACACACACACACACACACACACACACACACACACACACACACACACACACACACACACACACACACACACACACACACACACACACACACACACACACCACACACACACACACACACACACACACACACACACACACACACACACACACACACACACACACACACACACACACACACACACACACACACACACACACACACCTTGGCGGCGCACCTCTACATTCGTCGCACTTGTCCCCCCGCAACGCTGTAAGTCAGTATTATCGGACGTTTACGAGGCTCACACTTGCGTCACTCGTGCTTCTCCTTGTGCTATGTCTGGAATGAGTGGTTGTGACTGGCACGGTCAGTAACGTGCCATTACCTCCAAAAACACCCGTACGCTATACGCGCCATCCCGAGGCGGTATTTCCCAGCATGCGGCAAATCACTAGTTAGGGAAAGCAGAATCTGATGCCCAGAATCAAATTATGCAGAATCTGCAGAATCTATAATCTGCCATATAATATGCGTATAGACGGGCAGACATCCAAAGCAACGTAGCCTAGCCTCGTAGAGATGCGTGGTCAACTCGTGGTGTTGCCTTTCCTGCTTACTGCATCTCATTTGCCACTTGATGTTGTTGCCGCAACTGTTCAACGCTGGTAAACTACTTGTTTTCCTTGACGAAAGCTGCTACGCTTTCAAAGTTAAAATTTAATATCAGTTTTATCAGCCCACTTCTCTGCCATTCAGTGTAACAGTGCAGTGCCGACAATATAGAGCTGTGATCAGTATTTTCACATTGACCCCGCAATTCGGTACTGGTTTTCAGAAATAGACGAATGGAATACTAGGTGATCCTGCACGAGCCTGGCTGTGCCATCCACTCCAACTGCATCCTCAGTGCGCGACAGACAATGCCATCGTTGACACCTCGACACATGTCTCACGGGACCTCGGCACTCCGGGTGTCCGCTCAGAGACGGAGTGCGCTGAGGAAGGATGGGGGACAGCGACAGCCTCACCTGTTGTCGGCCGGGCTGAGCATGAACGGCAGGACGGCGGAGCGATACAGCAGGCCCACCTGGGGCAGCCGGTCACCGGCGCCAGGCGCCAGCAAAGCATAGCCGGCCGGCAGCTCGATCCACGACTGGACGTCAGCCGACCTCGGAAACCTGAAGCTCCCGTCGTGCCGTCTGTGGCAGGAGAGCGCACGCCGAAGCTGTAACCATGTCCGGGCAAACGAGCGAGGGGAAAGAAAGGGAGAGGTGTTGAGACAGGAAGAGAGAGAGAGAGAGAGAGAGAGAGAGAGAGAGAGAGAGAGAGGAGAGAGAGAGAGAGAGAGAGAGAGGAGAGAGAGAGAGAGAGAGAGAGAGAGAGAGAGAGAGAGAGAGAGAGAGAGAGAGAGAGAGAGAGAGAGAGAGAGAGAGAGAGAGAGAGAGAGAGAGAGAGAGAGAGAGAGAGAGAGAGAGAGAGAGAGAAAAGGAGAGATTTGTATGTATACTACATTCCACTGACACTCCGAGAGAGCCAGCTGGCGAGCGGGTGAGTCAGCCAGATTGCGCCCAAATAGCTACAGCTGTTGAATGTGTCATGAAGCACCTTTGACCAGTCCTACAGAATGGGTGGATAAATGCGTACCTGCTGACTGAGCTCGCAGACATCACCAGGCTGGGTTGCGTCATTTCGATGACGTCATCACTGCCGGTTTTTGCCATACTATTGGCCAGCAGAAAGCCCGTGTTCTCGGTGCTGGACATCAGCTTCTTCGATGCATCCTGACGCTGAGTCTGCAACAATGCTGACGTGTCAAAACCACTCGGCAGTTTACTGCCACGCCTGATGCGCCATTCACTCTCGTATATATGGTTACAACATTTAGCATGTTTCAGGCCCGAACGCAATATTTATTTTTCCAGAGAGGCGGTTCCGATCTCAAGCTCCCCCCCCCCCCCCCTATAGAGATCTCATCTGGGCCTTTTAGAGAGCAGCAACTTAGGAGCCAGGTAAAAACTCCATTTTCTTGTCTGGGGCGTCCTGATGTTATGCTTAGGTATTTGGTTTCTCTTTAGGTCTTTTGTAGCAATCGTCTCTTTTCCCAAGTCTTCTTGGTGTGTTGTGGTGTCCGGTGAACAATATGCATTTAAGTGTCCTCTGGTACTGTGTGCCATTTCGGTTATTTTGGAACCTATTAAGTTGTTGGAGGTGACGGCGTCCGATTTTTCCACGAGATCTTTGCCATAAATAGTTGCCGAGTTTTTTGTGTCCTGGGTGCCCCAACTGAAACATGACGCCACAGACCTCCTGCTCTAACGTCAACAACTTTCAACGCAGTAGCTCCGGAAAGAACACTTATGGAAGACGTACACATGCGGCTGTCAGGAGAAGAACCGAGGTGAGAAGAATGCCTGTTCGCAGATTTTGAAACTTTCCGAGATAAAGGTAACCGCGACAGACTGCAGAACGGTGGCCTGTAGACCATTGAGACCTGCGGAACTGATAAAAAGAAGCCGCACCCTGCGCACGTACTGACCACCAGTCAGCTCACCATGATAACAATAAACAAGGCCCCAATACTTCACTCTGGGGTGAGTAAAGCATCCCAAACCCAGGCTCTGGACCCCAATCATGAATGCGTGCTGTGTCGGTGCGTGTGTGTGTGTGTGTGTGTGTGTGTGTGTGTGTGTGTGTGTGTGTGTGTGTGTGTGTGTGTGTGTGTGTGTGTGTGTGTGTGTGTGTGTGTGTGTGTGTGTGTGTGTGTGTGTGTGTGTGTGTGTGTGTGTGTGTGTGTGTGTGTGTGTGTGTGTGTGTGTGTGTGTGTGTGTGTGTGTGTGTGTGTGTGTGTGTGTGTGTGTGTGTGTGTGTGTGTGTGTGTGTGTGTGTGTGTGTGTGTGTGTGTGTGTGTGTGTGTGTGTGTGTGTGTGTATGTGTGCCATGTGCTTAGCTACGGGCAACGCCTGCCACAAATCGCAATACCGTTATCAAAATGACGCGCCCCGCGATAACACCCAGTGAAAACAGGTGTTATCACCGCAGTATCACTCTGTTACGTCACGATTGCCACACCACGCCAGCCCCATCGCCCGAAGCCGGACGTTCTCACGTCAGCATCAGCTACTGGTTCGGCTGCACGCCTGCACGTTACTCTGCACGCGAGCAGGCGGCCACCGCGGGTTCCCCGGCCTAAGAGCCGGTGCGGAGCGGCGTTTCCTCAGGGGCGTTTCCTGCGTCACTGCGTCATTCATTGAGGCAGGAATGGCTCCCTGCGTCATCCAGTGAAGAACCCATCGGCAACAGGACCCCATAACACACTGATGCCAAAGTGGAGTGGGATTCTTGCCAGTCCCCTCAGGCCTGGATGGAACAACCTGCTCAAGTCGGATGAAGACGGGCTGAAGTGCTGTTGTTGGAAGGGTGGGCCTGCGCGTCTCCAAATGAGGTTGAATCGACCAAAGGCAGGACCGACTGCTCCTCCCCAAACGCGGCGAAGCCGGCGGCGAGATGAGTCAATCGCCCACCCATGACTGCGATTAAGTCGACGAGATGCTCGGAACGGGGTTGACTGCCCCGTTCCGACTGCGGCGTAACCGTGTGACCCGGCCAGCCGCGGAACCCACCTCGGTCATGTTCGACAGCCCACCTCGGTCATGTTAAGCAGCTCTTTTTGGTCATGTTGGACAGCTTACCTCCGTCATGCTCGACAGCCCACCACGGTCATGTTAGGCAGCTCATCTTGGTCATGTTAGGCAGCTCACTTCGGTGATGCTGGACAGCTCACCTCGGTCATGTTAGGCAGCTCATCTCGGTCATGTTAGGCAGCTCACTTCGGTGATGTTAGGCAGCTCATCTCGATCATGTCAGGCAGCTCACTTCGGCCATGTTGGACAGCTCACTTCGGTGATGTTGGACAGCTCACCTCGGTCATGTTGGATAGCTCACTTCGGTCATGTTGGATAGCTCACCTCAGTCATGTTAGACAGCCAGGCGTTGGTGGCCCCCAGCGTCAGGTCCACCAGCCGCACCATGTCCTCGGTAAACTTGGTGTTGCTCACGAGCCGGTCGCCTTGATCCATGCCCTGTGTGACGTTCCGCTGACGGGAGGGCAGGCGCCGCCAGGTCAAGGTCAAGGTCGCTGGCTCGCGGTCACTGCTGGCTCCGACGTCGCCAATCACCCACACACGTTCAGAGGTGTTTCGTGAGAACCTTGTGAGCCTGTCGATGTTTGCTCATTTTCGTGCCCCGGCATGAATTGGGGCATTTGCCACCTCGCGTTTGCTGGAGGAGGAGGATAAATTCATTTTCCACTAATGTCATCGGAACTGATCAGAAGACTCGACTGGTTGAAACGTAAAGATACTCCTAGTTGTATATTTTCCTGTACTATTGACTTCATACGTCAGATCAAGCGTATCCATTTTTCAAAAAATATTCTAAATGACACTGCAATAGATAGATAGGCGTTGAGGAAGAGAGGAAATGGAAAATCAAGAGAAAGGGAAAGTTAATATAGTGGCTTAGCTGCTGATGTTATGTAACGATTGATTCCATTGATATTAATTCAACATTCAGTGATCTCCTTTTGGAACAGAGGCAGTTCATTGCTTTTCTTTGGGACTTTGACAGCCTTGATTTTTCGAGCTTGTGACGCAATTCTGGCAGACAAAGCCATGACAGAGCATAGTCCCTTAGCAAGTTTAGGCCTGATATTGTTTTGTAGAGACTGATGGTGGAGTTAGCGTGTGCGAGGTAAAAAATGCGCCTGTAACCTTCGCCACACGCCTTTGCCTTACGAAATGGCTCAGATGCTCTACCTGAGATATTAAAAAGAAGCAAGCTAGAGCCAGGCGGAACTGGCATTAGAATGTTCATACCACACTGAAAGAGACCTGCTGCTGCTGCTGTTACCAAACTATGACCAATGTGACCTTTGGCAGGTCAAGCAGGGTCATTGTGGTCAATGCGACCCTTTAAGAACCTTCCTGTTATTTCAAGAACTAAGCACGCTAAGACAATGCAGAACATGGCGCCAGATAGGTCTCGGATGCCTCTATCAGGTGATAGAAGCTTTCGGACATCGATACATGTGCCCTACAACAGATTATGTGAGGCCAAATGATAAACGCTGTTGTTGCATTCGTCCGTAGGGATATATCACAACCTAAGCAAGCTACATCACTGAGAAAAACGGCGTTAGAAAGGCCTTCTAAAGCTTTGGAACCTGTACCACTTTGGAAGTACAAATGGTATAAGCCGCAAAGGGTTAATCGCAAAGGTCGAGGTTTGACCTAATTTGACTCTCGATGTCCTCACATTTAAAAGCCACGGAACGACAGCAATGCACTTCAGAAACATAAAGGCAAATAAAAAGCCTGGACTTATTTTTTAAGCGGATTTCCTCAACATGATTTCGAGGAAGAGGTCCTTGAACGGGACGTCATGGAAGCTTAAGATTTTCGAAACATTCGCACAACTGATATAAGCCAAGCTACCCAAAATCTCAATGACCAAAACTTAATGAAAAAACGCAGTGATAAAACTGTTCAGATCCATGGGGTAAGGCTGAAGGGGAACGTGAGTGTTTAAATGCCTGTACCATGTGGTGTGTCTAGGGTGTCCGAGTTTCTTAATTCCCAAGATGCATTGGGCGCTGCAAAATTTATACATCCAACACCTCCGTCGAAATTGGGAAATTGTAATCCGCCCATACTGACATATGATCAACACGACGGTTTGCAAGCCATCACCATAGCTTCATCCCGGATTTGTGGAGGGCTCGGACGCGTGGCTTGACAGCCTAGCTGGTGTGCAACTTTACGCACCCGAAACTGTCGTTTTACTGATTTCTCATGACCTGATTTTCCAAATGACTTGACCGCGCCACTTGAAGCGTAGTTACACCACGGCGACAATGCAGCATGCCTATTAAGCCCTCGGGGTGGTTGAAATGCTCTTTTACCACTTACCTTCTGCCGTAGCTGGATGTTCATCGGCCCATGACAATTTACGTTTGTTGCTAGGACAGTGAGCCTACCAACACTATAATACTAGACTGGTATAAAAAACGCTTTTGCTCGCGCCGTCATCCAAAAGTCATAGACAACACTGGAAGAGATAAGCAAAGCGATGGACTTCATACCATTGGGGTCATAATGCACTTAAAAGCTTGAAAGATTAAACTGAGAATTTCCGGAACACGGATCTGGCCGAGGCCGCCCGTTTGAGCCAACCCACTCTTTGTCCCACTACCTCCCATCTACTACTTCAGCTGGGCGTCCAACCAGCTCACCGCCTCACCTGCTGCTCCAGCAGGCTGCCCAGCTGATCCACCGTGTCGATGACGTCCTGACCGCTAATGTCTTCACCCGCTGTGCCGTTGAGTTTATCGATCAGGTCGTTGATTGTGTTGTCAGGGGTGTCGGGCGTCGCGGTCGTCGTGGATGGCGGCGGCGTGGGTGAGCTCGAGCTCGGCATTGTGGACTGAGCGGAAGGTGTGGTAGAATCAGGTGTGGTTGGTGGAGCAGTGGGTGAGGTCGTCGGCATAGTGGGTGAGGTCGTCTGACCACTGGCCGTGGTCAGTGTGCTGGCGGTGGGCGTCGATGGGGCCGTGGTCGTCGATAGGGCCGTGGACGTCGGACGGCTTGTAGTCGCCTGACTGCTCGTCGGTGCTGAAAACCAGAATTATCTGTCACTTCCACACGCCCTAAACTGGAGATCGCCTATATAATTCATCATTGTACACTACGGTGTCCAAGAATAACACTTTTTGAAAAAGGCTTGGGTTGTCGGGACTAGTCTGGTTCCCCGGGACAAGACCAGTTCAGTGTAGTCAATGTTGTCAAATTCATGCATCTTTAGGGGTGCACAAAGGGCCCAAAAATCGGTAGCTATAAGGCTTATTCACTGCTACCACCCGCCAAAAACCAAATCAGATCGGCCAAGGGACATAAGGCCCGACATTGTGACCAAAAACATTGAATCAGGGTAGCAATAGGGCTAGGGCGCTAGGGACTTGGCTTTAGGCGTCCAAGCTGATGTTGATGTACATTTTAATAGCGGTTTGCTACATTCTATGAGCAAAAATGGCTTAGAGTACCGAACCCTGAGTTCCTTGCGCACCCCTAAATGCTTTTCCAAAACGTATTATTCTGGCCAACACTCTGGACAGCATTGGGTAGCTCCCAACATGTTGCGGGAAGCACTGCCAACATCAAAGCAGTTATGGTTCTAATAAAAGCTCCCTGTCATGCATTATGCATTATGCCCCCCCCCCCCCTCCCCCATTGATAAAGTTGTAACTCCTTCGTCGTCGTCAGGGAAAATATGCAGCGGCCATCAGTACGATTTCGGAATAGGCACACCGTTTGGTCCGTTATTATCTGTTTGGCTTGCGCACCGTTTGGAAGTAATCTGTCTTCGTCCTCCCATTGAAACGTGTATCTATAAAACTACGACTGCACGAGCCGCAACAATGAACAACTGTACGCTGTAAATTTGACGCAAGCAGCAACCACCACTGTCCTATATGATAACTTTTTCTGCAGGCGTTCGAGCTGATCAAGTAAAACTATAAGCTGCAGGACGTTTCCGCTCATCGGACTGACTTGTGGGTTGGCTAAGTGCTCCGTCTCTTGAGCCCCCCCCCCCCCCCGCCCCTGCTTGAGTATGTATCGCTGAGGCGCTGCGGCGCCGTGGCCCCTGCACTATGAGCGGGCCACGAGCTCCTCCGGGAGGGGTGGACAGGGCAAGCTGTAACGTGGAGTCTGTCTGTGTGGAAGGAATCGCTGCATTCGCTGACGTAGTTGTAACACAAAGGTCTCAACCCCGAGATACCAGGAAAACGCAGACCTTATTTCGACAAAAAGCTTTCGCACCTGTTCGCGTACCATGCGAGTTACTTTCTGGCTCACGGGTAAGGGACAGCGGGACGGTTTGTATTGAAGAAAACATTCCGTATTTGAAGATATTGGGGCAAACATCAGCATATGGTGAAATTAGCTCACGTATGAGTTTGGTGTGCCTTTAAGTGAAAGGACTGCATTGGACCACACAATTTCTCTATTTAGTTTACAATTTCCCCATTCTCGATACGTTCCTCAATGCGTCATTGTTCGATTGCCTCATCGTACCTTGCACAACATTGATTGAGAGCTAATTTACGGCCGTAATATCTTGAAATCATGCTCCTGGACGTCAGATATGAACGACTCGACGATGATATTTTTATTGGGCTTGATCGCCGCATGCCCGTTAGAATTGTAGGGTTTCACTGACGCCATTATGGTGTCATGGATGCCTGGGTGACCTTGAAAGTCTGCGTAAAATAGTCCGCACACGTTCACGGGCGGTTAACTCAGAAATTAGAGAGGTATAGGCCCTAAGAAGGGCAGGGCTGTGAACTGCGCCGAATGATCTTTAAGGCGGCCATTTCGGTTCAAAATCCCATACAAATGTACAACACTCTCTTTTAGTTTGCTTTTGTGATTTCGCGAAGTTTTGCATTCATTTTCAGCTTTGTGCCGCTTGGAAGATACTTGCATTCGTCAGGAATAGTTTGTCCTTCAGTCAAGAACTTCGTCGTAAAATTACTGTGCTAGGGTATTTTGTGACGAGTGGCGTTGGCACTTGTTTTCACCGTGTACTGCGTGCCTGTGTGACGACCTGTGCATCGTGCCACAGACCACATTTTTAGTATCCCTGTTGATTAATAAGCGCCTGGGTGACCAGTCGAATACGACGCTGCTAGGGCGGGGTGGAGGGGGAAGGGGGTTCGATTTGGTCCCCTGAGATCTAAAAAACTAGGTGAGCTAAAAATGCTGAATTCGTAGGATAGATAGGCTTGTATGAGACCTTACTTGTGTCAAATTTTGGGATCTTCCTGTCATGACACTCGGTTCAAATAAGAACAAAGAAGTGAAACTCACGATCGGTGTCCGAATCTCCCTCAGATATTTTTATTCAACCACCGTTCACCTGAGAATCTCAACTAAGCAAGAAGACCCTGGTGTTCATGTCAGGTCAGTGACCTTACTCGACCCTCAGAAAGTCATGATGGCCAAAATTCTGTGAGATTATTTTGATTTTTGAATCTGAATACGCATATATGATTACACTACAAGACAGGCTCCTAAAACACGAGGTTAACTGGGGTCATCATAGGAACAAGGTGTTGCAGAACTATCGGAAAATGGATGCTTATCTAAAGCGAAAGGCCATGAGGTCAGTGGAGTGGGATTATAAGTATGTTTCCGCGTTGTCATCGTCTTTTGAATTGGTAGCCTTAACAGCGTCAACCTAATCGGATTTGCCTCTCATGACATGAACACGGGACGAAAAGTGTCGCAAAAAACGTGGAATGAAAATGATCTATGCTTCTTCGAACACGAACTTTACTACCAGCTCAAGTTGGCCATAAAATGTTGTCACGTCGTAAATTAAAGCGTATCTCCTATCTGTTTGCAGAACCTCGGTGTTCTCACCGCTGGGACCTGTCAAGCGCGATTCTGGACCCGACCCAGCTAACCGCACTGAATGGCCACACAGCTATGACATTATAATAGCATGGTCATATGTGCACACCATAAATCAATATTTAATCACTTTTCCAGCATTCGTGCAAGAACAGTTTGGGAAACTTTTCAAAATGAAGTATTTTCTCAGGAGCATGATAAACCATCTCTACAGTTCAAACAGGGTCACCTACAGGGCCACATTCAAAAAGTTATTACGGCAATTTGAGCCGTCGAGAATACTTGCGGAAGAGTTACCAACAATTCTTGAATATCGTTTTCTGCCGTACAGAAGACCCACAAAAGCGTATGCACTCTTTTTACCCGTAATGTTTCACAAGCGGCAAGCACGATGGCACCAATATCTTACAGCATTTGTAATAATGACAATTTAAAGCTGATCCACATTTCACTGTAAATATCGTGAGATCCTCTTGGTGATTTTATATGCACAACACGCTCTATTTCAGCGTCAAGTAATGCACGGCACCTGCCCGCATTTAGAAAATGTTTTCTGGAGTAGTTATGGCCAGTCCGTACGTTCTCAATGAAAAATGACTAATTATGCGAATACTGAGCCATCAAAAGGCTGTGTATACCAGCCGAAACCAGGAGTTTGGCTGCGTGTCAAGGCAGAGCCCTTGATGCTGCGCGCTGCTGTCGTGACGGCGCTGCTGATGCTGTGTTTGGCCGACTGCCCCGACGGATGGAAGTCATTCAAGGATTTCTGCTTTCGCCTGACCGACAGCCAGTCCAACACGTTCAGCCTGGCCGAAAGCTCCTGTCGCAAGCTGCATCCATCGGCGCACCTGGCCAGTCTGCATAGCGAGGATGAAAACAAAGTGGCGGCCGACACCGCCATAAACGGCACGGCCTGGATTGGCTTAAAGCGTGTCAAAGAGCGCTGGCGCTGGTCAGACCGCACCTTTGTTGACTTCACCAACTGGGAACAAGAGGCGGGCACCAACGGTAGCTGTGCGCAGCTGGCGAACGGTCAGCAGTGGCGCAACGACGTGCCGTGCGGAGACGAAGAAAACGCTGGTGCGTCCGAACCGACGCACAAGAAAGGGGCCAAAGAAAAGAAGAAACCAAACAAAAGGGACAAACGAAAGACAAGAGGTAAACGGTGCCCGACATGCGGTAAACGAAAGAGTGGGTTGGGGCTACCGGCGCTGTGCAAGGTTCCACACATGGAGACGTGTGGAGGTCCCGACTGGATCCGCGCCGGTGACTTCTGCTACAACTTTTCCTCTCCGAACGTGCTGAAGAGCTGGAACGAGGCAGGTTCCGGCTGTTTGCAGATGGACGCGCGGTTCGTTGCGGTCTTCAACGCCCGACAAAATGACGTTCTCCGGCGGCTGGCCCATCTAACGGGTACGACCTCTGGCAACACGGACGGGCTGATACGCTACACGGTCGCAGTCCAAGTCAGCACGAGGCTGCCTGGCTTTCATTCCCCTGGGGATGCATTTTAAGAAGGGCATTTATTCCTCTTGATTCACTTGGGGTTCAACCGCATGTGCACAGCGTACGTACATTGATATACGTTACATGTGGCATACGCCCATCTGAGCCTTACCGTAATGTGGTTCGAGTCGTCAGCGCTGCTAGTTTTGAGTAACAAAGGTGACACATGTGTGCCAATCCCAAACCGTCTTGCAACATTGCTCCACACCCACAACTTGCTGTCGAGACGATGCCTTCTGTGTGAACGGCTTCGACGACTCAGACCACGTATGTGACTGGTGAGCGTTCTGGCAGACCAGGTGTGTGTGATTGGTGAGCGTTCTGGCAGACCAGATGTGTGTGACTGGTGAGCGTCCTGGCGGATCAGGTGTGCGGGTGGTGAGCGTCCTGGCAGCCCAGGTGTGCGGGTGGTGAGCGTCCTGGCAGCCCAGGTGTGCGGGTGGTGAGCGTCCTGGTAACCCAGGTGTGCGCCTGGTGAGCGTCCTGGCAGCCCAGGTGTGCGCCTGGTGAGCGTCCTGGCAACCCAGGTGTGCGCCTGGTGAGCGTCCTGGCAGCCCAGGTGTGCGCCTGGTGAGCGTCCTGGCGGACCAGGTGTGCGGGTGGTGAGCGTCCTGGCAACCCAGGTGTGCGCCTGGTGAGCGTCCTGGCAGCCCAGGTGTGCGCCTGGTGAGCGTCCTGGCGGACCAGGTGTG